CCCTAAAAAGTCAAAATTACTTTGGAAGAAAAGATCAAAACTGTTGCTCAGCTTTATCCCTTATTAACTTAGCTGTAACTTTGAACCTAGATAAAAGAATATATTCATCACCTTGTCCCTAGAAAAGTCCTAAATTCTGATGGTTGATATTACAAATTCTTTTTTATAACAGGAAAGTACTCTAACAGTCCTGCAGCAATTCAGGGAGTAAATAATCTTTTACCGCTTCTCTATCAAGAGCTTCCTGGAACTCTTTCAGTCGTCTTTCTTCATATTGTTTTTCCCTGAAAATTCTGGTTTGCCTTAACATCTCTTTTTCATGTCGAACATGCATGAGTTGAACAGCAATCCTCCGCTCCTGCTGAGATTGTCTCATTAGTCTGTAAATAAGTTGGTCCTCCCGGTAAGCCTCCTAAAAGATAAAAAATAATAGTATTAAGAACAGCTTACAAACTATTTCATAGACAACTCATCAGTATCTCATATGAGAAATATGAATGAAGTCATATAACAGCATTTACCTGCTCATTGGATACATAAATTCAGAACAACACACATATCTATTTACCAGTACTATTTTTGTGAACTATGTAAGAATTGTAGAACTACAGAAGTGAATTCTAAATATATCTCAACTGAGATATTCAGTAAAAATACATTTGTTCAGATTAACTCAGTTTTAACCTGGTTATTTCCTGTGTGAAAAGAAACTGCAGCATATTTTGAATAATCGCTTCTGCATGTAAAGATATACGCCTTCCTCAAATCACTAACTTATCCCTGCTCTTCACCAGTCCCCATTCTCAGCCATACTCTGCTGAATACTTCATCAGTCTGTTCTTCTACAGGTTTGAAGTTTTTCCTTCTTACTTGGGATTTGGGTAATCACCCCCTCCATTTTCCTTCATTCAGGAGACTGGGAATATAAGGAAGCATTCAGAACAGAGAAAAATCCAAGACTTCTAGGTAACAGTTTCAGTGTTCTCACTGGGACATGAATAGAATCCCCTACTCAGTACTATAAGAAAATAATTCTAAACCATTTGTTTGAAGCATGGTTGGTGTGCATCGACATTTTGCAGGCTGTGGACTGTTACTTTTCAAAGTAATTGTCAAAACATAATACTATCTTCTCACCACCACATTTCTCTAGGCTGTTCTTGGTATATAAACTAATGCTTAACCTAACCTAAAGTTTTGCCTCACTACTTTCACAGTCCAGAACTGCTTCCGAATTTTAAGCAAAAGCATCAGCTTGCCTTTCAAGCCCCATTGACAAATATCACTCCTACAGTAGAATTTTAGAGGAAATTTCTGATTCCCTGGACATTTGTTTCAGATGCAGCAAAACTGGTATGAAATGTATTCAAATTTAAGGACCTAAATTGAGAACTGATCTGAAGATTTCAAATTCATTTTCCTAAGAACAGAGGAGCAAATAAAGCCAGTTAGTAGTATTACAAAAAACAAATCAAAATAAAGTATCACTTCTATTTTCTTTTAATCTGGTTTATTTCCCATCAGCTATCTGCAAAAGAGAGGGCAGAACACATTACATAAACTCACTTATAAATGAAAAATCAAATATTATTACATATTATCGTATTATTTAGGAAAGAACTCTTCAAAGAGGTCTAGATCCATACTACTCAATGCAACCAGGACATCTGTAATACACATCTAACATAAAGCTGCAAATTATGGCTATTTTAATTGCAACAATTAGAACAATTTTCTAATTAATTTAGATCTTTAACACTGATGTTAGGGAGAAGCCAATATTTTTCAAACAAAACTCCTTCCATATTTTTAAGTTCCTTTCCCTTTATAATTGCTGGGAACAAAGTACATTCCAATTAAATACTGGTGACTTGAAAAGACTAAGCTGATCTAAAAATCCCTCAACATTTTGCTTATTTGAGCCAAAATGTGAGCTTTGCACTCTCCTTTCCTAGCACTGAATCTCATAACACCGCATGATAATTCTAATGGCAAAGACATGGTCATTTTAGTTCCAGAGTGCTTCACCTGCATGCAATATTGTCTCTCTACAAAGTTTATCACAAAATAAGGATCTAATTTTGAACATGTTTTGTTCTGTACTCTATTTGTAGTGTACTGTTTGTATGCTATTTTTCTACACACAGAATTATCATCATGCATGCAACTGAAATGGAAAACAATGCAATAGTAACAACTTTATATGCACTTTACATTTTCATATTCATGCTATGTGTCATTTGAATCAGTTCATATGATAAAATTTTCCAATAGCACTGGCTACTGAAGAGTTAATCTGTCCATTTGTCTCTTGCATTCATGAAGTCAAGACAATAAAAGGAGACATGATGCTCTTTGCTGCCTCAGTCTTATCCACGGCTTTTTTGAACTTAGCATTTCATTAAGCTTTCGAAGCAGAGTAGAGGATACACAGACTTTGCTTCCTATTACAAGTAAATATCCTTTACAGTTTTCTTTAGTTGCAACTGCTTACCTTCAACCATAGATTAGTATAGCAATAAGTACTCCACCAGAGGAAAATGGATCTTTAAATCCCAATTAACAGGGGATTGACAGAGCCACCCTAATGGAGTGGTCATTTGTCATACTCAAACTATCAACTGTATGGTACAAATAGTTGGCCCAGTGAGAAATCAAAGCACCTCATTTAGGCGACTGCGCTCTTTATAAAGCAAATGGGAAGATGTTCCCTTAGAACGCTTCAGAACAGCCAAAAGAGATCTTTTCTTTGTTAACTGAAGGGTAGAGAACTTTGATCATGTAAATGATCAAATATTTTGACATGCTGAGTAGGTCTAAAAAGAGCTAGCAGGAAATTTTTGAGGAACAAGAATATATGAAAAGGCAGTTAACTCAGAGCTACACAATGGATAAATTAGGATTCATAACACCAAACTCGTAATTCCAAAAAGGGTGCTTATCGGATAGGGGAGTGAAGCATTGGTAGCTCTCTTTCATACAAACAGGTATGGACAAAGTACTAAAACCTAAGGCTTTAAAGTTTTGAAACTTCTGTGCATACTAGGAGGCAAAATAAAAAAGGTAGTACAACATTTTGAACCAATGTCTTCCATCAACAACTTCACAGCAGACTGTGAGGTGTCTGAAGAAATCATAAATATCATAAATGAGACATCTTAGTAATAATTTCAAAAATTACTACTGAGAAAGCATAATACACACTTTATTTCAGTTTACCTACTTCAGACAACAGTGGCATCCAGTGGCCAAGCAATATGTGTGTTTCATGTGCTTCACACCTAATTACTATATCCCATTTTTCTATTTTACTATTTCCTTGTTTCATTTACATACAAATGAAACAATTCTGTCCCGTTGTGTAGTCATAAAATTTATGACCAAAACTTACAGCTTAGCACACATAAATTTATTTGGTTGACAAGCAATAATCTAGTAACAATTCATTTCCCCTCCTATTTTCAGCTTCTCAATTTATTGCCAATGGTGCCTTCTTCCTGATAACTTTTTAAATTCAGAGAGATAAAATCTGAATAGAACATTTAAAAATAATGAGTATTTAGAACAAATACTTTGTTGAAATTGTGGAGATCAAAGATTCAAATCAGATGGAACCATGTTACTGTCAAATACTTTCAACTCCTGCCTATGAAAATCTGGCTGGTACCACCCTGTGCTCCACATAGAGGAGTGTCATGTAATTGTAAAGTATTTTTTCTCCCAGGCTCCAACTTGTAGCATGTCAAAACTCAAAATTCTGAGCAAGATTCTTTTAGTAGAGGTTTATGTGTATGGACATGAAACACACTAAAGTACTGTGAAGGGATGAAATTCATTTGACTCTAAATGATCCTGTGCCTTGTGTTCCAAGTTCTATGCAGTATAGGTAAAAATCCGACCCTAATGTCTACAAGAAAGCCACAATTCCAGTCTGTAAATCCTTTCCAGCTCAATGTCTAATGGAGGAAGAAAGTAATTTCAACTACTTTGTGTATTTTTTTTTTATTTATTTATTTCAGCTGCTTCACACTTCTCTTAAGTCAAGCAACATCTAGTTTCTGAAATCTCACAAAGTTCCAACTAGACACTTCTTTCTCTGATAATTTATAACCAAATTTCCACTAAATAGATTCTCTGATCTTGTCAGACTACTGTTCCAGTCAACTGTTCACTTCTCTTTCCTTCTAATTCCTGCAGTCTGTGACTTCTATTGTTCCTGTATCAACGCTGATTTCTCTTCCTATGAAGTTGGGAACACTACTTTTACTTTTGCCTTGCTTTGGAGCCTCGCTGGAGCCAGTCTGATTGGCAGCACATTGCAACAATGTCTCCAACTTAAACTGACAAGGCCTGTACTACAACCTCAGGTGGGTCAGCTGTCTGACCTCCTCAACAGCACTGTCTGGCTTTGCTGGCTTAAAGCTGCTGCATCCAACAAATGCCCCAGTAACTGCTGCTGGCCACATGGCCATCAGCTGATAGCCATGGCTATTGGAATCACTAGTCCAGGCTGCTGGGGTTGTGCTGGGGCTGTGACAGCTGACAGCGGGCAAAGAGCAAGTTTTGGGACTACAGTGGACAACTGGGTTGAAAAATTTCTTCACAGCTTATGCATAACAACAAGAACATGATACAGAAAGTCTTTGAATAAGAGCTCAGAGACAGGATACATGGATAGATCGACTCGATGTAAGCCACTACAGAGCTTTTTCATAGAATATAGATCTGGAATAGATATTGAGAAATCATCTAACATTTAGATCCCTACCCCAACAAATTTTAATTTTTTCTTAACAACTCCAAAAACATCTCTAGACATTACATGCCAATGCTTAAAAATACATATATATATATATATATATAATTTCATACTTTTCAGAGGTGCCATGCATCTAAAGTGCTATTATTGTGCAACAGAGATGGAGACAGGCTCAGCTATACTGGGTTCAACACATGATCTAAGCTAAAGACTCATAGTGCAATACTAAGATAAAAGACAACTAGATTTCACAGGAACCCAATAAGTTACAAGGTTCTGTTTTGATACAATTATTTCCAAAGAGAAGATCTGTGAAGTCAGTAATCTAAGAGCTGCTTTTTGAATGAGGAGTGTGTGAGGAGAATTCTGAAAAAGCCTTGTTCTTTATGGGACAGGATTCAAATGGAATAATCTGCAACTTCCGTTTTAGACATAACACAGACATCCTCCAGAGATACATCTTCTATTCCATAACACATCAAAAATCAAAGACCTGATGTGCAAAATAAGTTTGTTTTTTTTTTCTTCATATTACCCAGCACAAGCATTTCAGAATTTATCCAGTCCAGACCAAAAATTTTACTTTAATAATTACCTTCTTCAGAACCAGTATACATTTTGATAATTTAAAGTTCAGCTTTGGGGGGGTGGGGGGTGGTTGGAAATAGAAGGCAGGTCTTTAACTGATTTGTTATAACCTTAGTTCTGCTGCCTTCACTTGATCCTTTATGATTTATAAGGATGAAGTATGACACAAAGGTGGCAAGAAAGAATGGACAACCTTCCATATTTTCAAGGAAAGACAATGGTTAGCACAAAAGTTATTTTCAGAGATAATGTATATACCTCTCTTCATACCCTCCAAATTTTATTGAATCCTCCAAAAATACTGTTCTTTCATACTTGTAAGCGAAGTTTTAGATTACTAATTATGCATGGGTTATATACTTCAGCATACATTTTCTCACCTGTTCAGCTTCATGTGCTATTAACTCTCCCATTAGCATTTTTCGTCGTCTCTTTTCTCGTTGTTCTCTAGCAAATGCATCTTCCTCTAAACGTTTTTTAATTTTCCTTATATATTCATCATCTGAATAAATATTTAACAGCTCAGTTGCTGTTTGTGCTGTACTTTCTAGGGTTGTATCTTGCAACTTCTGTGTTTGCAATGATTCTTGTATATCGCTGATTGAAAAGATTAAAAAGAAAAAGATCATTAACATTATAGGAATTATGGTTCTTAGAGGTGTTTTCATACAGATCCCTGTGTTATGTGCAAGTCTGTCAAATGCACAACAGCACTCTTTGGGCACTGTGGCTACTTCTTGATGCTCTTGTGTCCCACAATAACAGAGGAGGGCTCCAGCATCAACTTGAACCAACTGTCAATTAGTTCATTTGCTAATATGAAGCCAAATTCTGCAGAAATAGGAAATTAGGATGGCTCACAGAATATCAAAGAAAGATGTGTTACTCTTCAATATATCCATACAGTCTGAGTGCAGTTTTGCAGAGTTATTGATCACAGGTTATTTACACACAGAAGTACCTATGGCAGTATGCATGAGTGTCACCTCTTTTTGAGTGTGGTATACATATCACTAAAGGTAATAGAATTACTTTTACTTAAAATTATTTGCAAATAAATCAACATACAGATAAGTCTAAGGAGAAAGGCTACTTTTCTCTATTTTCTTTGAAATGTGTTACCGTGTACGTACATCCACAACCATTCTCATCTCTCTGCAAGTCTAACTGACCTTACAGACTCAATGACTGAAATGAATAGAGAATGATGCTCTTTGCACCCTTTGTGGCTGCGTGTGTGGCAAAAAGAAGAGAAGGAAGCTTGAGCCATCCCTACTACAACTGAAGGTAAGGTAAAAACACTGTGACAGTGCTGGAGCTGGAATATTTGCCGTGCTAGTGGGACAATCACTCAAAGGACAACCACAGTTTAAACTAAACAAGCCATTACATTTTCCTCAAGTAGCTGTCTATATGGATAGTAGGTACCTGAGGCAGAACCCTGTCTAATCTTAATAACTTAATATCCAAATATTACCTGTCAGTGACTCGGCTGTGTACAGCAGAGGCATTTCCTGGCATAGACTTCTCAAACTTTTTAATCTCCTTGTATACATCCTAAAGAAATAACATAAAATTTAACGTTTCTTTTCTTTTCACAAAGCATCATAAGGAAGTTTCAACAGACTAAGTATTAGGGAATTATTTTTATGTCCTGTTAGTACAACAGAAATGTTTACAACTGAAAATATTTTAAGCATCAGCTAGATCAAGAAAAAAGGCAAGACTATTTCTTTCTTCTACCTTTTATTTCCTTCCCCCATTCCCTTTTCCTAGCTATACCTATTTCCACCAGCCAGAAAATCCTAAGATTTTGCAGCTGTTCATTCTGCAGGATAATTCTGATTTTGTGTAGGACTCTAGCAGTTTATATAATTCCCACCATTCAGGGATTTGAAACAAGATATTCTGGGCTATGATCTGCTTTAGATTTAGTAGATTGAATTTCTCCCTTATAGTTACTCGAGCAACTATGTTCCTACACTCTACATTTAAATGCATCTGTTGCGGTTGCACAGTTGTAAAAACTGGTAATATTTGCACTCCTGATGACAATACAATCCATGAACTGTAAGATTACAATCCAAGTACTCTTCAGCACTAGATAACACAGAATTTTTTTATTATTGCTGCATTGGTATCATCTCTTAATTTGATCTAAGACTATTGTCAATTTCAGCTGTTACTAACATTTTTGAGAGCACACAGTTTTATAGTGTGTTCAGAAGAGTTCATACATGATGGTGCAAAACTTCATCATGCACAAATGAGAAGGAAACATTAATGCTTTTATTTCACATATTCTACTCAGTAGACTAGAAGCTAAAATATTGTTAGCAATTAAATTAGTACCTACCTATGGTATTTATTCAATAAGAACTTTCTCTTACATCAAAACAAATTTTTACTAAATAACAAATGCAGAATCATAATCATACTAATATTTAGCTCCATTTTCACTGGTCGAGTCTACTATATCATTTTAACAGTAATATCAGCAGCTTTTGGATTGTGCAAGTACAGTATTTGTAAGTGTAAATGTTCCCAGAAAACGTATGTTTTGCAAATTCATATAATTAACGTTAAAAGAATATAGATGATAGTTACCTCTGCTTCTCTTTTCTTCTTTAAGAATTTTTTGGCTTCAATAGCTTTTATGGTGTGGCTCGGTGGTGGCTTTGGAACCTGTATAATGGCTGCGTGAATCCTGGCCATTATTTCATTTTGTCTCCTTCTTCCTATGCGATGCTGAATATTCAACATCTTGTGTTAAGACACTTGAGTTAAAACAAAATACAGCATATGGCCCTAATACACTACCTATGTATCTATGGAGCAAATGTAATTAAGCCATAAGGAAAAAAAGTCTTCCAGGAAGAAAGTAGAAGAGCTTACCAGGTTCCAGGCTTGAGCAAACAACTTGACTTATTTTTTTTTTTTTTTTCCCTGAAATGGATCACTAAATGCCATGAAAGTAAAAAATTCTTTATCTTCTGTTAACAGTTCAATCTTGTCCTAAGAATATCCTCAGCCACTGTATTCATAAATCAGCATTTTTATATCAAGAAGTAGATGTTATAAAATGTATTTTAAACTAAAGCATCATTCTACATTCCAAATAATTTGACAGTTTAGCAGTAAGCTAGCATATGCTCTCAGTATTTGAGGATGAAGATACATTTTTTAAATACCATTATCAGAAAACGGTACATCTATATATGCTATGTCTATTTCTGTTAACAAATAGTTCTATTAACAAATAGTGTGGTGCAATAGAAGCACATCTGTAAAGAAAAACAGTTTGTGCGCAGTGCCTAATAGGCATTTAAAGGTTTGTATTAAATTCTAGTTCTAGTATGGTACCTGTTTCAGGTCAGAATTCAGCAAGGAAACTGAGAATATCGGTTTCCTGGTACAGAAACTGAGAATATCATTAGGTAATATTATTGCTGAACAATGAGTCTCAATCAAGAAGTAACAAACATTTAAGTTACACTAGTTAAAAGTGCACTACAGATGCAGCTAAAGGTGGCATTGAGTGGAAAAAACCGTTTTTTTACAAAGAGTTAAAGACAGTTAAAAAATAAATATGTAATATATCAAATAAGATACTAATAAATTTTTGTTTGAAATCTTATTTTGAGTATTTTGGATGTTGCTTTTATTTTCTTTTCATACATGAAGTGACATTATTTTTCATTCTTGTTCATGCAGTGGCAACAGAATAGCTAAATTACCACAGCAAAACTCTCTCCCTTTAATTACCCATATAAAAAGCTTCTCAAATTAGTCACCTTCATTTTCATTGCGGTTCAACGCCCCTTGGATAGCTGATCAGTTCCCCTATATAAACTACATATATACAGCCTACAAATACTAGGCTGTATCTTGGATGAATGTTCCCATATCTTAAGAAATTAGTTGCTGTTTTTTACTTTATCAGAACAGCTACACAGAGCTACAAGATGTTCTGAGGCCATACCCACTATAGGTCCCCTTCCTTGTGCCTTTTTCCTGCTTTTGAACAATGCCTCATCTTTTCTTCACAAATGAAGAATGTCACAAACCTCTTTTACAAGGAGACCTTAAACACATACAGTTGCGAAATTTACATTTTGTCTTCAAATCTATATTTTTGACGCATGACAATATGCAAATACTCTCAATTTAACATTAAGTGATTTTTAAATATTAATGTTTTTAAGGGTCTTATAACAGTATATTGGATTTATATCTACATATTTATGATTGCCATGTGTACTCCTCATGACTGTGTAGCACAGAATTAACAAAGACTCACACTGACTTTAACTCATTATGTACATGACCTCAAAAAAACACTTCTTCAGAAGTATCTAAAAAGTAAGTAGTCACCTTTTCAATGTTTTGGGCTCTTTGTTCCTCTTCGAGCTTCTCAACTTTCTGTTGTTCTGCAAAACGTGTACGAGCTATTTTATCTCCGATTGCCTTAGATTTTATTTGAAAATGCTCTGAAATCTGCTGTAGTTGCAAATCAGCCTGACGTGGCATTAAATTTTTCAAATGCTAAAATCAATCATGAAGCAATGAAGAGTCAGAAACAGTAACAAACATAGGTAAATACAGTAATTTTGCCATAGTCATCTCAAGCTGTGCTTTCCTGTGTTAATGTATACAGCACGACATCTAAACACGGTCAAATATCTTTCAGAAGACCAGGACTAACTCCTTGGAAAAGAACATGCAGATTTGAACTTGAACAATGCCAAACTTTGTTTAGCTTGCAGAAAAGGAGGCTGAGGGGTGACCTCGTTGCTCTCTACAGCTTCCTGAGGAGGCAAAGTGGAGAGGGAGGTGCTAATCTCTTCTCGCTGGGATCCAGTGACAGGACATGTGGGAATGGTTCAAAGTTCTACCAGGGGAGGTTCAGACTGGACATTAGGCAGCATTTCTTTACCAAGAGAGTGGTCAAACACTGGAACAGGCTTCCTAGAGGGGTGGTCAACGCCGAATGCCTGTCAGTGTTTAAGAGGCATTGGACAATGCCCTTAACAATATGCTTTAACTTCTGTTCAGCCCTGAATTGGTCAGGCGGTTGGACTAGATGATCATTGTAGGTCCCTTTGAACTGGAACTGTTCTATTCTATTCTAACTGAAATACAGAAAAGTCAACTTAAACATAAGAAAAAAAAATACTGAAAGGGTGACGAACAGGCTGTGAAGTCTCTGTCTTTAGAGATATTCAAAACCCCACTGAACAAGATCCTGAGCAACCTGCTCTAGTTGACATTGCTTAGAGCAGGGGGCGTGGATTAAGTGACCTCCAGAGGCCCCTTCCAACCTCAACTATTCTACGATTCAAATGCCATTCTGTCTATTGACAGGAGCTACTTGCAGTTGCTTTATCTTCTTTAAGCTATCCCTCTATAGCTGAAAGGATGTTTTGACCGTTTGGTACTATCCTTGCCCTTGCTGGTAAACTTTCTGCTTGTAGACAATTTTTGAGGACATGTGCCAGAAAAAAATGTGAAACTTCACACAGCTGAATTTGATTCATAGTATATAGTTTCTTAAAGATTGCTCATCCTGATAACAAATTATGGTCTGCACATGCTGAACATTACTATAGAAGACAAGAACAACATCCTTAACAGAATCTACTACATTGCTACTGACTTCCTCTTACTCTTTTTCCCCTTTGTTTTTTCCTCTTCATATACTGAGCATATGGTTATTGCAGGCTGGAGTGTAGTATAAATATACGGAGAGACGTGCAACCGAAGGAACCAAACGACTGTGGCATGAAGCTCAACACAGTTATAAAGAGGATTCCTGGAGGGGAAATTAGTCTAAGTTGATACCTAGACCACAATGCAGTCTGCAATCTGTACTGATCAAATGAGTAAAACATCTGCTGTTGAACAACTACTAGTGTTTGTTGCTATACATATTTCAAGTCTGGAGAAAGCTTAAAAACAGAGCAAGTAACACAGAATGAGCAAAACCAAACAGAAAACACAGATGAGCAATATCCTCATGAGGAGTCACAGATAAACAGTGTAATCCCACTGTTTATGTATAAGACGTAGCAAAAAACTGCTTCTTTTCCATATAAGTATTGGGTTTTGAGTAGGAGATTTAAAAAGTGGGGAGGAGAAGCACGCAACACGCTTGAGAGGTAATTGTAAAAATGCTATCTTTTTTGCTATATATTTATACAAAATAGGCATAGTTAGTTACCTCTCGATACAGAACACTTTCAATAGACTTAAGCTTTGCAGTTGCTGCAGGTCTCATTGATTCCATGGCTACTCCAGTGAGCTTTGCCTTTCTTTTTTTTTCTAAAGCAACATACAATTCATATAAAAGCTTTGTGGCAGCCCCATGCTGTCCAGTCATGATGTCTTGGGCCACATTCACATTAAACTGTACACCAAGGAGGTGAAGTGTAGGCTCCAGGCGACAAAAATTGTTAAGTTTTGCATTTGCAGCCCTATAGGATTAAAGACAACAACAACAACAAAAATCAGAACATAAAATTATTTCCAATTTCAACTTGCTGCAATAAGCACGGTCACGACATTTATCTCATACAAAGATAGGAGGGGAAAAAAAACACAGAGGACACACAGAGGTAGTGTGATGCACACTTTGGCTTAGGTTTTATACTGCAGTACATGTAACTGCATTGGTCTACTAGGCATAACTTTTGGAAAAAATAGAGAATGCATTGCATTATATAAATCTTGATACATGCACACATAAAGTGCATCTGACAGCAACAGCTTACCCTCAATTGCAGCTAATCATATATCATCCACAAAAAGTAGAAAGAGTTAGAATAAGTTTCTATATTAACTGTATCAATCCACTTGAGTTCTAACCAGTCAAAATATAGGAAATTACAAAAAAAAAGTCTATATAATCTATTAAATCTCACAACACTTTGTCATATTTCTACTCATATAAAAAGAAATGGACACATGGGTTGGAGTTGTGTTGAAAACAAAGACTATGGTTTCAAAGAACAACTTACATTCAAAACTGAAATAGTGGATTGCAGATTAATGTTTCTTTTGATATGTAGATTCTCCTGTGGAAGCACCCCAGATCAACAGATATAAAGGCCAAAACCCAGTAACAATAAACTCTCCCTGTATCACAATCAACACACCAAAATTCATCGAAAAAATCCATAACTTCAACCTGAGTCAAAACATCATGCTTTCTATACTGCTCTATCACTTGAGTTCACAATAGTTCCTTCACATGAACCAACAAGCTTTTGAGGTCAGCCAAGCTGCAGCATAAATCTACAAAAATGTCCAGTCTTAACTTAAGACCTTCTGGTGACACAGTATTCACCTTATTCCTAGATTAAACAGTCCAGGAGCTCATTATTCTTACTATATTAGTCCATGCCTTATTTCTTACATAATTACGTATAACTGCAGCTTATAAAGAACATTTTTCTGTCATTGAGTCAAGGTTAGAGTGAGCCCTCTTGTCAAAAATGATCTCGCATGCATTAAGAAGCTGTGGTGACATCACCTCTTCACTTTTTGTTCTGTAATCAGAGCAGATGGAATTCCTTAACCTTGTTTCATAACACAAAAATGTTGCAAATCTTTATTGAAGATCATTATAAGAATTCAGGGAAAACTACAATATTTTATTTTTCAAATATGGACAAACAAACTGGAAAAAGTTTTCCAGTAACATTCCTTCTAAAAAAGTAGTATCACTTTCTCAATTATTATTTCCTTGCTTACATGTCCAAGAACTGTGAAACATAAGCAGCTAATATAGTTAAGTAGACCTTGACTCATTAGTCGCATGACCCCACATTCTTTTCTGTTAGTGCATTCTAGTTTACAGTTGCCTATGCTACAAAAGGAATCTACATTTCTCCCATCAGCACCCCAACAGGTATGATCTTCCCTTTGGCTGTGCTAAAACATATTAGAGTGACGCAAGCTTGCCAAATGATCCATGAATAATATGCTTTTCCTTAGTAGCCACACTGCAAATTTTAAAAATATTATCTTATAGGTATTAAGTAAGATTAGGCATATACAGGTTCTTGCAGGATTCCAAGACCATACAATGACTATTACACAGTAATAATTGATTTAATGTGCAGAAGAAATATCTTGGAATTGAGAAAAAATTGCCTTAATTCTTGATAGTTGTCAAAAGACCAGTGCCAGGAATTATTAGAAAACAAAACAATGAAAAAAGATGAAAACATCAAATTATCTTTACAAAGTCATGGAGTACCATGGTAAAGAACACCACATACAGTCCTCCTCCCTCATATGTCAGATACTCCCAGAACTTAATGATTATCAGGGCCTTTCTCTGGACCTGCATAAATACATCATGTCTTTCTTGCAGTGGGGAGTCCCAT